AATGCCCGCCTTTCCCGCCAATTAAATCACGCGATTCAATTCACTTCAGTTTTCATTTTAAAGGGACCTATCGGATAGAGTTTATGGGAGAAGCACTCTGCAGAAATATTGAAACGGAAGGTACTTCTAGTAATGTATAGCAAAAGCCAAAATCACTTTATGTATGTTCAAAGGCAGGAATTCAGGCGGGGGTAGGGGGAGGCAAAACCCACAAAATAAGCAAATTTGCCATAATAAGCATATTTTTTAACTAGTTAGTTTAAAGGTCCTGTAGCAACAGGAAAGAATATTTATATTGATTTTATTTGGTTTTGAATCGTATTTTGTGTTAAATGAACATTAATTTAATTGCAGTTTGTTTAAATTTGATTACCCAAGCTTTAACAGCAAAATCTCAGATGAAAAAGAAGCTCACAGTAAGCTGTTCATGTCACAACACAATGAATGCAAATATGACATTCTAAGTTGTAAGGGTGGAAATGACTTTTGAGAGAATGTCGAAATGTAAACTTTAAGCTAAACTGAGATGAAGTGCTGTTGATTGTCTTTTATAGTGGATGTAATGAAAACAATAGCTACTTGAAAGTTTAAGATTGAGTCAGGTTAAGGAGCACCTGCAAAGTTCAATCTGCAAAGTTCAATCTGCAGAGTATGGAAGGTCTCCACAAGTTCTTGTGTATGCAAGAACAAATAGAAATATGTGCATGTGTGCAACTGTGCAAAAACAGTGTACTATCTTGTGTACGAGTATGGAAATTCTGCTGAACAACTGCCACAACCTTGAATTGTGCCAGGTTTTCAGCTTGACTTGTTGATAAACATGTATTTTTTTTAACAGGCTACTATTGTATGTACGTTTTGGTATTCTAAGCACTAGGCTTCATTGTTTAAGATCTTTGGCTCAGACTTTTTCTTCTTTTCATTATCCTAGCATGCCATGACACAGTTCTGACTTGACCTTGACATGTCTTTAGCATGAGTTTCACATTGGATGCACATTAGCATCAAAACTGAAGGTAGGTTTTCGCAGCATCAAAATCAACATTGTTAATTCTTATAATCATATTTTTCTAATTATTGGAGGCAGTTATTGAGGCAATTTACATTTTACTTATCAAATCTATTGCCAAGGTTGATGGGACTGATTTAATTTAACATTTCTTTTGTGTCAGAAAAAAGGGGTGTAACATACCCAAATTTTCAGAGATAAGGGAGTGTTGCTCTGCTGGTTATGTCAGAGATAAGGAGGTAGAAATCCATTATTGGAACTCACATGGTATATAGATTCTTATAGAAGTGAACCCGCCAGGGGAAATACAGACAGTTGTAGAATATAGTCAGCCACAAAACGCTACATATGACGTTATATAAAGGAAGATTGCCACGTAAAAATGTCATAGCTTTTCCAAAGGCATTTACAAAATGGGTGTTTCCCAAATTCTTAGGGTTTCGGTCAGCAAACATTTTCTCCTCTTTGCCCCACAAATCTTCCAACCCTGGCTACGCTACTGCTTCTTATCGTCTTTACCTTAAAGTTAAAGCAAAATCTTAAAAAATGGGTGTTTCCCCATTTTAGTGTCTAACACCCCCCAATCACTGTTGCTTAAATCCGCCCCTGCTCGTTCGTTACATTCACTCTGATAAAGCTTTAGATTCAATTTATCTTAAGATAATATTACATAACATTGGATTCTCCTCGTCACTTCGCTTTGTTGCTGACTATTTTTATACTATTACTCAATCTTGCAAATAGCGTACAAGATTTCCGAAAATAAAGGATTTCAAGGAGTTTTCAGATAAAACAATAGTTCTTCCACCACATGTGCATGAGATTTTAATGAGGTGATTTTCCCCTCGATCATGTTGGCGTCGAATCAAAGCAAGTACGTAGTGTATATGTAGTGGCGTATAAAAAGCAATGTAGTGTATATTACGCTGTCGTTGAAAGTCACCTACGCTATGCAGATGTAATCTAGGGCAGTCTTGCAACAAAAAACTTGAAAAAACTCCCCAATGATTACAAAATAGAGCCAAATCGATAATCGAAAGTGCCACCAGATTAAAAGACAATTGCTCCTGTGATTGGCTGAACGTCAATAATCTTATTTCTTTTGATCGGTCAGTTATGACCTGTAGGATTATGAATAAGCTAAGCCCCTGAAAGCCTTTGGGATAAATTTGAGTTAAGTTCAATGCACTCAAGCCATGTAACAAGAAGCTGCCATGATCTTCAGATCCCAAGACTAAATACAGAACATGGAAAAAAGGGCTTTAGATATTCGGCTTTAAAAATATGGAATGACACGCCTGTTGATGTACGAGAGGCCTCAACTCTCGGTTGCTTTAAAAACAATTGAAAGCACACCTACTGGCTGATCAAAAACGCTAACTTCAAAACACGACCCTCTGGAACATATTCTAGATACTACATTGCCTTTGAAATTATATTTATTTGTTTGTTTTTATAAGATTGTATAAATATTTATTCATATCATATATCATATATCATAAACCATATATCATATACCATATATCATATATCACATATCATATCATGTTCCAAAAGAAGCATAAAAGAAGATTAGAAAGGCCATATCTTTTTTTTTGTATTTCGTTTCGTAGTTCTCAACTTGAGCAAAAAGTTCTTGAGTCGTTTTTGAATGACAAATTGCAGCGATTGATGTAACACAATGAATGTAATAAATGAATGAATGAATGAATGTAACGAATGTTACTCCTTCTTTAGCCTTCTTCGTAGAAGAATTTACCCTCAGAGAGATCCAGTTTCGGGTGTTTACACAAAACGAAATGAGAGGGGTTCAAATCAGTACGCGTCGTAGCTGAACTCAAATGAGTACGGCTAGGCAGGCACCGTGCACCAGTCTACATATAGGGGGGCTGACAAGGGCGTGTCCTCAAAAGATTTCAGTCACGCCCTCTAGAATGCCGGGAAACGCCCCTTTTAGAAAATGCTTGCCTATTTCCATCGATTTCTTCATAAACAGTCTGATTAAGAGAAGATGTCAATAACTATAAAATAAGATAAAATGAGCTTGAGGATGATAAAACACCAAGCTAACCAAGTTATAAAACCCATTATACCATTAAACAAGATAAAACACCTAGAAAATGAGCAAAAAGGGTTCCCAGTCAAAAGTACGCTACTACTTGAAACCCCTTAAAGTAAACTTTCCAAAGTTGTGTGAGAGTAAACTTTCTAAAAAAAATTCAAACTTTAATATTGCAGAAAAGTTGGGGGGCTATAGCCCCTGCTAGCCCAATGGCTGCGCGGTGCCTGTGGCCAGGTGATCTCCAATGAGTACGGCTAGGTGATCTCCAATCAGTGGCGGAAATTCAGGCTTTCATTTGGGGGGGCCCAGGCCTACAATTTTCCGACAAGATAACATCACGGACCATGTATAATTTCAAAGAATTGCACATTTTGATAAAAATAGTTAATTTTTTGACGGGACTCTTTAGGAATTTTTGCTGACCACGCCATAATTAAGTAGCAAGAAGAACAATCCATTTATGATTTTTGATATCAAGATTGATATCTTATCTAAGACAATTGATGATACAAGAGGTAGACCGATAACACTTTTGACAAGTCGTACGTTCATTTTATGCATTTTATCTTGTTTTCGTCAGTGAGAAATACGTTTGAAAATAACTTTTGTTCAGAAGAATCCGATAGAAATTTTGGCTGATCTTTACAGAATTGAAATTAAATACACAATTCACAAGCAGTTTTGATTTTGGTCATATATTGTTTGATTGATTATTTGGTAATGGCTAATATTTTATCAGCTATGCTATGTTCAAATTTTGCAAAAAAGGCACAGAGAGGTTATAGAGGCCCCTGGGCTAAAAAAGGAAACGTGGATCACCTTCGAGCGAAGTGAGCAGAAAACTTGGCAATTACGCCCCTTTGATTTGCTTAAAATTCCTTTTCAGAACGATTTCTTGGAGTAATTTCGACACGTTAAAAGGTTGTCAATTATCTGACGAAAGCCCGAATTTTCCGTTGACGTCGCTGATTGGGGGGGGGGGTTTGCCGAGCCCCCATAATTTCCGCCACTGTCTCCAATGATTACGGTTAGGCAGGTCTTGTGTTAACAGAATGCCTTAGCGAACTCAAATGGGTATGGAAATTGGAGGAGCCTCAGCGAACTCAGATTAGAGTTCTACGAGCCTCCTCGTAACATCGTGGTCACTGTGCTCAGCATATTGAGCCTCGATGCGAAGATGGGCCGAAGTAGAAACGTATTCACCACAGGACGAGCGATAAAACAATGAGCATAGTTGACCAGCCGGTTTTCTGCATGCACAAAAAATAGGTGCCAAGAAATCTTCACTTATACCGAAAGTAAACTAAGAACTTACTTCAGTTCAAATAAATAACAATCCTGTCAATATTTGTTTGGTTAATTGGTTAGCAGAAAATGCTTGGTAAACCAGCACACTTCGTCATAGCAACCAGTTATTCAGACAATTGTTTTCATAATCAATAAATTTTCTGTGAACTACAGAGTTAAAATCGGTCGAAGCTAGAGAACCCAGGCATTGAATTAAACGCAAATACATCAGTTATAAAAAACAGAAAAATTAATTTAAAAAAATCTGAATTGGAACTTTAAATTTTCATGTGAGATAAATGATTTACTTTGCCAGACCCTGATACACAGAAATTGCGCCTCCCTGTCGTTCTTCCAATTAGCCTAGTATAATTTCCAGTGGAAAAGTGTATACAGTACAGTCATAGCCACAGCAGTAGAGACAAACGCGTAAAGTCATGAATTGTATCAGGTTGCAGGTTAACCTTTCGCTAGCAATAAGTATTGTAATGGTAGAGGTGTAAACATGGAATGGGAGGGGGGTGTAGGAAGGGAATGGGAGGGGGGTGTAGGAAGAAAAAGGGCGCGAAATCTCCACACTGTCTGTCCAAGATTGTAATCTGAAGACAACAATAAGAATAAAAACGTAGATAAAAAGCGTCAAAGAAGAAAAAGGTTTGCTATCTCAATTTCGGATCAATGAAGAGCAACAAAGACGAACAACAAACTGCGTCTGCATAGCCTTATAGGCATAACATTCTACTTAAATAATCACCGATAACATATTTTACTAAACTATTGAAGTTGAAATTGTAAATTGATAATCTGCTAACGAAGTCTGTTTCCATGTCAACCAAAACGCAAAATGAATTTTTATTTTCATTTGCAAAAAAAATCTGGCATTATGTAATCCGCCATCTTAAAGCTGAAGAAATAATACTATGGTATTAAAAGAAAAAGAAATATTGAATTAGCATAATATTTGTCCTTGATACACTGCCCGTGAAGGCAATCAACAGATATTGGCCAATCAATGAGCGCGTGAAAGAAATCACAATTACTGATTGGTCAATATTTGAATGAAAAATGGCTTAGGCCCTTTTTGCTTCTGTCGATTGCCTAATGCCACTAACAAGCTGAATTATTTTCCGAGAAAAAGGAAAATATGGGAACAATGCTGCGTTAAACTTGGTAATGTCATTAAATATTCTAAGGCGAAAAAAACTACAAATATTTTAGCAACATCCAGATCAACGAACAGAGAATTAACATCCTCTAAGGACAACACGACAATCTGAGATTTTGATCAAAAACATTTTCTATCTAGAATAACATCATTTCTATGGGCTTGAATCGTGAAATAAAGTGTAAAAAAAACTTATGGGATGTCATAAAAATGGGCCTTGTTCTTGCTGTAAATGAAATGTTCAGTCTACCACTACATACAAAGTATGAGCACTGAACAATTGTTTGATGATAACATTAACAACTGAAGCTGTTGGGCTGGGGTTCGTTCTTACCGTGGCAAGGAAAATACGTTTGTGTAAAACATTGGCCAAAGGAACAAGCAAGGGTCATAATCCAAAATATTGCTTAAGTCTATAAACGAAAACTTTTGCTTGTCTAGGTTGAAACTCACAGTTTACGGTCCAATTTCTGTTAGAACGATCCTATAGTATTTGACTATTTACTTAAATGTAAATATCTCGTATATTCTATTCAACTATTCTGATTAAAAATCTCACTAAACATTTGAATAATTCTACCCATATTCAAAAGATAATGCTAAATATATCTCTAATAATTGAAACAATCTTCCAACAATAGCTACTAGTTATGCAAATGAGCTAAGTTACACAAGTTTTTCGAAAAATAAACTTCTTGGTTAGCATCAACTCCCTCTGCATTAAGCTTCTAATCTTTAGTTGCCAAAACCAAATTTCAAAAGTTACAAAGGACTGGTTATCAAACGGCAAGCTTCCTGAAAAGATGCGCGTCTGGCACGACTTCTTTAACACCAAAACATTCTGAGCAGATGGAAACTTTAGGTATCGAGAAGTTGTTCTTGCATTGTGATAAAACTAAAGCCAGCGAGCTAGTTGATTAAGAAGATATTTTCAGAGGTTTTTCTCAATGATAATCGTACAAGCTCAGAGACACCAAGGGTCCTAGTCTAGCGATTGGCGACTGAAGAAAGGGATATGCTTATGAGTATTCAATTAATAATATCAGTCACACCACTCAGCTAAATAACCAAGTCAAATTGAGTCAATGGCCAATCAAATAATGAATCTTCGAGCTTTATATAAAGCAGCGAATCACCAAAACGAAAGTATCTATGCGCAAAATATGTCATACTAATGTCAATGAAACTAGCAGATGCGGACAAGATTAATTTCGAAAGGGTTGGTTTGAGGTCTAAATTAGCATTCAACACAGAACACTTCTCTGTGTACTGTTTACCGTCAAAGCCTGTTTCGAATTGCAGTGCTAGAGTGATTAAAACGAAAGAAAGGGGCAAAGCTGAGCTAAGAGAGTTTTAATCACTTTTTGAGTCTCCGTTTGCAACAACTGTGTGACCATTTGCGAAGTTTCCGTTAGCATTACTGGCGGTAGTTGCCTTGCCATTAGAGGACTTGAAGTTGTCTCTGTTGAAATCTTTACCAAGATTGTTCTTACGTTTGATTCTTGCGTACGGTCCAATTGCTGGATCCATGATGAAATCGAACAGCACCCTAGTCCAGGAATTGTGTGAGGGCAAATCTTTGTAGTATTCGGGTGCAATTTCGCGGACCTTGGGCAGAAGTGAGCCGGGAACATTCGGGAAGTCGTGGTGCTCATTATGGTAACCGACATTGAAGGTGAGCATGTTCAAAGGACCGTAGTAGGAATATGTTTCAAAGCCGCTCTTGAACATGTAATGTTCTGAGATGAAATGCCCAGCCACCGGATGTAAACCCATGCCCATGAACGAACCGGCTATCATATAAGCCAAAGCCTTTGGCCCTAGATATATGTAAACAAGTGCATCGAAGGTAAATTGAACGGCGAAGTTTAGAGCTTCCATGGGTTGCATTGGTAAAGGACGGACGAACAGGGGGCGAAGGCTGTAGAAAAAGCCTTGGAAGACAACCCAGATGAATTTGGAAAATTTATTCGTGAAAAGACGTGCTTCAAACTCTGTTGGAAGATCTACGTCAATATCTTCGTTGCCCATGTACTTGTGATGATCGAGGTGATACTTCTTAAAAGCTATTGCACACGGTACTCCAATTGGCAAGTTGGCGAAAATACTAAAGAGTTTGTTTTGGGAAGGCTTCGTGTGACCAAAGGCAGCGCTGTGGGCGGTTTCATGGATGGCAAGTAAGAGAGCATGATTGAAAACGCCAGAAATTGTGTAGGCCAGCAGAAGAGTGATGCTCCATGGCAAGTCCTTGGTCATAAACATAACAACAAACTGAAACAACACTAGTGCAATTACCTTGTACTTGAAAATGTGATCAGTTACCATAAGACTCTTTATTTCCGGGTATTTTTCTAAGAAAAAGAAAGGAGGAAATTTGAAATTAAGTTCTATGAAAAGCATACTACATTGTCTAGTTTTGGTTTGCTAATTAGCAGGAAGTGTTAATTGAAATATTTGCAAATGAGGTGATACAAATTAGAAACAGGCACTTATTCGTCGAAGGTGCTCATAAGAACTAAACCAAGCTTTTAAATCATTAACTGGCTAGGGGTGTAACCAGTTAGCTTACAACTAAACTCTTTTTTATTAAAGTTAAGTGCGACTTGCTGTTCTTTATTCGAAAATCTGAGGCTGGATTGTTTTTAATTTGTTTTAAATTAATAGAGCGTGTAACTGTTAGCATTTTTGCTTTCAGTGAGACAACCTTCATTTGCCGCAAAGTTTGAATATTCACCAAAAAAGCACCCACGAATGGCTAAAAATCCTCATTTACGAATTAGCGCGTTGTTCAAAATTGCATTTTACAGTAGCTAAGCCTCAGTTCGTTCTTAATTTGTTCTTAACTTTTGACCAATTTTGAGGCTCCTGTTCTTATAAAAAAGAGTGTAGTTAACTTAAAATATGGCCACCAAGTTCAATAGATTTGCATGAATGACTGACTGACAGTGGCAAATAATGCTCAGGTGTGGTGGTCATTCACTTTTAGGTAAATGAAAAAAAGTTAATGTTTATGGCCCAATAGCAAGATACACAATACAGGTGCAGGTCAAATTAGTTATCTGGAGAAAACTGTTATCCTGCAAGTTTGAAAATTCCCAGAAAAGCCCGTAAACTCTATGATAACTTAGTAAAGCCTGATCAAAGACACGTTCAAAGCAGGCTTGGCTTTTGGGGCTAGACATTAACTTGACTTAGAATTCTAATGTTCAATTTACTACATTTTTTCCTTTTTTGGGGGTACTGATTTTAAAGTAACAACAATTTTTATTGAGGCATCTCAAACATGTTGATAAATTTTGGGATTGATTTTTACATGACACCTTAAAATTTGAGGTATAATTTTTAAAAGGGAGGTAATATGTTTTCATTCACTTAATTGAGCTGTTGGTTTTTTGCAAGGTTATGCATGTCAAATTGTATCTAAATTTTGGGGTAGGGTTTTTGGAAAATCCTCTACATTTTAGGGTACATTTTTTCATGTTTAAAATGGCACACCCCTTCCTCTGCCTATCAAAGTTAAACCCCCTCCAAATTGGGACCCCCTACATCCAAGAAATTTGAGTTCCCTTTAGGCTGAACTGATGATTCACTGTACCAGCTGTTCATAATTTCTAAATTTTTTTTCCTAATGCTCCATCAGTTTCAATTCCCAATTGATCAGAATTTCCAATCCCCTTGTTGTGATTGGTGATAAAAATTTTTGCAAACTGTAAACACTTCAATCAATTTTCCTCCATGTGTTATAAAAAATGAAATAAAAAAGATCTCCTCTAAATAAGACTTGATGACATTCTTGCCTGCTCTTCAGTTCCATTTATTGGGCTGACATCCAAATATTTGATTTTGGTAACTTATTATGATTGCATTCCAAATAATATGATGTGGAAGATAAAAATAACTTACAGAAAATGTTTCATTTCTTTATTTATTGAAATCTTTTCTTTCCATTGAAGCAAAGATTTTCTCACCACAATTTAAAGCAAAACTTCAGAAATATGACTGAAACATTTCTAACAAAAATTAGATATGCAAAGCAAAAAAATTGCAACAAAATATTGTCACCAGATTTTTGGTATTTAATGCATGCTGTGTGCAACAATTTTTTACCCTAACTACCAAAAGTATAGTGACACAAACAGTTTTTAGAGTACTAAGCAACAAGGGAAAACTGGAATGCTCTATCTTTACCAGAAAATCAAACTTTGGGGGGGGGGGGGGGTCCAGAAAGTTTGCCTTTTGCACTTATGGTTTAATTTTCAATTGGAGTTTGGTTGTGTAGACAGTAGCTTAAAATATGTACCCAAAACTCAGAACAAGATAAGATTGATTGTTCAGGGTTTGGTTAAGGCCACCACCAGTGGAGGGCACAAGAAAATTTTTCACCTATGACATTCTAGGGATAGCCAGAAAAGGGGTCTGGGGGTATTAACAACATTGATTGAGAAGCAAGGATCCAAAGTACAACAACAAACATTTTATCATAGTGGTGCTGTTTGGTTATCCTTAGTTCTGTTTGGTTTGATTACAACATGAAATCAGGAAAAATTTTAGGTGCAAGAAGTTGAACAGGTTGGAATAAAGGCAGAAATTATAGAAAACAACTTTATTGATAACCTAACCTCTGTTGTTTTTCAAAGCATGACTTGTCCAGCAAAACATGATCCATTTTTGGAATAAACATGTATATATACTTTGAGGTAATCTTTGTAAGTTGATTAACCAACAAGCCGTAAAACTTTTTTTACCTAATTCTCATTCTTCAAAAGGAGGGAAACAACTTCCAAAAAAGGGGAACCAGACTTGCTTCAACTCAGTGGCGGAAATTCAGGCTTTCATTTGGGGGGGGGGGGGGGCTACCATTTTCCGACAAGATAACATTTTGGATCATGTCTAATTTTAAAGAAACTGCACATTTTGATAGAAATAGATGATTCTTTGATGGGACCTTTTAGAAATCTTTGCTGACCACGCCATAATTAAGTAGCAAGAAGAACAATCCATTTATTGTTTTTTGATATCAAGATTGATATCTCATCTAAGACAATTAATGGTACAAGAGGTCAAATGATTACACTTTTGAAAAGTCATAAGTTCATTTTATGCATACTATCTTGTTTTCGTCAGTTGGAAATACCTTTGAAAATAACTTTTATTTGAAAGAATCCGATGGAAATTTTGGCTAATCTTTACAGAACTGACATTAAATATACAATTCATAAGCAGTTTTGATTTTGGTCTTATATTGTTTGACTGATTATTTAGTACTGGCTAATATTTCAACAGCTATGCTATGTCTAAATTTTGCAAAAAGGGCATAGAGAGGTTATAGAGGCCTCTAGAGTAAAAAGGGAAAAATGCAGATCACCTGCGAGCGAAGTGAGCAGAAAATTTGGCAATTTTGTCCTTAAGATTAGCTTAGAATTCTTGAGAAAGCGTCCTTAAGAAAGCGATTTCTTGGAGTAATTCCAACAAGTAAAACGGTTGTCAATTATCAACTATCGTGAACTCTCTGATTTCTTATTTTAACTTTTCATCTTTCATCATCAAGACATAATAACTTTCAACTGAATACTTCATTAATTTTTATAAAAGTTAAAGCAGTAATTGTTGTCGGAATATTAGGCCTGAAAATAAATGTAAAGTATACTTTGTAATTACAATTTCATCAAAGGCAGATCCTTGATATTACGTAGTCTACAACACATCAATCTTTCAAAGAGCTTACACAGTGACTATTTTATTTGTAGAAAGGAGAGCACCAGTGTTTATTTCCTTTAAATAAAGTAGATCTAAATAAGAAAATGAGGAAAGGGTTCATTCCCCAACAAAATGCAACACATGGCCTCACCCCCTACAAAACTTTCTTCCCTAGACAGAATCTGACAGTTATTGAACAAAGTTATCTTATGGTCTCAGGAAAGATTGAAATTCCAGCTTTTAAAACCAGTAAATATGCAAAATTGAATTACATAATTTTAAAATGAATTATATAATCTTGATAATTTCTGAAAATGATTTTTTTTGCAAAATATTCTCACCCATTTGTAAGGCGTTTCTATCCACGCAATTTGCAGAATAACTGTTTTCCCAAGGGAGCTGGCCTGAACTTTCATTTGGGCCATACTGTGATGCCAAAGACCCCGAACAGCCTGAGCACAGCATAACTTAGACTGACATTGTTACCAAAGCTTTCATTCTTAACAACATGGATGGAAACAATATTACCCACCCTTTCGTTAACGCATTAGAACAGAAAAAACAGAAAAATGCTCAAGGCAAGCACTCCATCCGTTTTCTGTAAAGACCGAGTAGCAGGTTAAGATTTTGAATATTTCTCCCATTAGAACAGTGGCGTAGCTAGCGGTCATGCTTGTCATGCCGGGCATGACCATCTATTTTCAGAGTTAACATTTTTCAAAAAATTATATTTTCGTAAGAATAAAGTCCTATTCTCCTGATGAAATAGCTCAGGCCATTCGCCTTTGGAGCCCTATGGTTCCACGCAAGAATATGGAGCCATCCGAAGGCGCTCTTCTATTGTCGGGCATGACTAAAACAGAGGGTTTCCAATTTAGTCATGCCCATAACTATGAGCATGACCAAGCCCTGTGTTTTAGTCATGCCCATAACGCTGGTTCCCTATGTTTGGTCATGCCTAACAATAGGAGTGACGCAGGAGAGAACAAAGGCTAGTCATGCCATTTCGAGAGGGCATGACCATCATTATAATCATCAGAACCTTCCTATGTTATTTCATGAACGCGAATGCGAGGCATCGATGGCGGCGCTGCTATGCCTAGATCCACGAGCTGGGAGGTAATTCTCTGTAAGTAAAATGCAAACAAAAGCTTATTGCCAAGCAGCCACGACTCATGTTAATCTCCAGAACATTTTATGGCAACGACAGGGTTTTTCAGCCTTAATGGTGTTGCACTATGTGGAGAAGTGACAGGCACGAAAGGCCGTTTTTGGACATAAAATCAGCGAGCAGGATCATTTTATGCAACCAAACCAAACTCTCAGCCTTTTCAGTAATCAATTGTTACTAGTTGAACATTTGCAGAGAATCTTCTTGATTTAATGAATGCCAAATCTTGATTCTGTTCACTGGAGATGGATGGAGGAGATAGCAGTGTTATTTTCCAAACAAACAGATTTGAGAGCTTAAACTTTCCAGACATTTAGCAGCATATTCAGAAACTGTTAAGCCCTTCAAAAGCATTGTTACCATATTATGATTAGGACAATAAGATTGTAGTTAATGGATAGGGAATGCCAGAACTTGCTTAAAGTTATTCTTCAATTTTTTGTTTATTATCACATGCAATAACACTGTTTTTACACACAATTTAAGTCAAACTCAAAGCTCTACTGACTTCACTTTTAGTTGAAAGTACTTTTTACTACTTATAGCTTTTGAAATAAAATGACCAGAGACAAGTCAAGCATGTTACTAATCTTGTTAGTTACACAGTTTTATTTCACTATTACAACTTTTGATGTATTTGAAAATTTACAAGATCAAATTATTCATTTACAACCCTTGTTTGCTAGATTTAGTAAGGACAATCCAATCATGTGAGTATTTACCACAAGTATATGTGGAAACATCAATGTTTTTGTTAAGCTAAACTTATTTTGCAAGGTATTTTTCTATTAAGTCTAACTTTGCAGAAAACATTTTGCAACTAGGCCTATCCATTATTTTAGCTTCCTATATTTCATATCAATATTTACATTGGATATTCATTTGCCAATTTGTTTTATTCATCTATCAATTCTATTGGGGTTGTTAGTTAATTGTGATGGCTTTGAAATACCTTCAACAGATTGATAATAAGACTATTTGTGAAAAAGATGACCAAAAACTCCCATTCAGTTTCATGTGATTTATTGTTTCATATAAAAATTTTAGCTTATCTCTAAAATTTACAAATGTATTCCAGCCTGCAAATTGAAAGAAATTAGGAGAACAAAACAATTTTTAATTTAAGCTAAGTTTATCTACTATACTAAACTAATGTTTTTTTAATGTCTTTTGTATAGTTCTGTTTGGAAATTGTCAGAACTCTGTCTGTATAAATTACCAACAATCCAAAACAGTGTCACAGCTATAAGATAAAGGTCATTTCATAGTGTAACAAGATGATTGCTATGAAATAAGGAAAGCTCATTCCAAAAGTTAATCACAATTTTTTTATAAGTCACAAGCCTTAAAATTAAAATTTCCAAAAGGAATTCATCAACTAAAAAATTGGGCGTGGTAAAATTTGGCCACACCCATATTTTTTCAAATTTGAGGGGAGGGCATGACCACTGCTATTTGGCTAGCTACGCCACTGGTCTTACATAGCCAAATCATCTCAATCTCCATTTCAAGCCCTAATACTAGTAGCCATCAGAAAATTTGACAATTATACCCATATTGCGTATAGTTTTGATTGAATATAACTTAAGCACCCACCAGAATGTCAATAACATTTTTAGTATGAAACAAATAATTTTCGACCAACGAAACAAAGAGTGGTATTTTAAATATCGCCAACTTTTACTTTCAAATATTTATTCATATGTTTATATAGAAATTTATATCATTAGATTTTGTCTTTTGAATTAAATACACTCAGTTTTGATAAAACCACTACCTTAAAGATATATGTCATAAAAGTGTACAGAATATCAAATATATTATGATACAAAGGTATTTGTAAAATAAAAGGAAATAAAGTACATTTTACTAGTCAATTACAGAAAAATTGTATTCATAGTATTTAAAACTAACCAAGTTAGGTGCTTTTTATCTTAGAATATTGTCCAGAACTTGACATTAAGTGTCATCAATTCTTAAAGAAGGAAATTACATCTTATCATGCACTGGAATACAGAGATATTGACTGATTAATAGCAATTTATTTTTTTCTATTGACGGACATATGGGAACAAGTATCAACTTCAGCTAGTCAGTAGAGATTTAAATATTATTAACAGCAATATATGCGCTCCATATAATAAAAATATAAGTGAAAATCTGGAAATGAGAGTTTTACTCTTTTCAACGTCTTTCGCAAAAGCCAAAAATTATAAATTAGACGACAAGCTTGCTAGCAGAATATCTTCTAGATGTTATACATCATAAGTTTCATTTCTCTTCTGCTACATCTTCATTTTGTTCTTCTTCAATACTGTCCGCTTGTTCCGTTTCCGATAAATTTTCTTCTTTCTCATCAAGATTACTTTTCCTATACTTGACCAATGATGGGTTGTTGACCAAAGTATAACATAAATACCATTTGTTACGAATGATCTTTCTTTTGTCAAATAGATTCAGCTCCTTGCTGAACTGCATGTCTTGCATCTCAAAGTCAATTCCCTTTGACACAGTTTCACCGTTTACAATAAAGTCATTGTTAATGATAACAGCTGTGAAGAAAATAAAATGTGTCTCATGTTAGCAAATTGCCATAAAATGATTGTGATAATACTGTTGGTGCTAATTCTGATCATGAAAATGATGATTGATTCTGATTGATTATGATGCTGATGATAGTTGATTGAAACGATAAGGATGATTGGTGTTGATTACTTGATAAATGAATTTCAAAAACAAGGGTACAGCATAGAAATCACATGGCAAACGCATCCTAACTATGCTAAACCGGTCATTACTTGAATTTGTCTTCCACAAGCTGATTAAGCATAATGCAATACCTCTAAATAGGCGGAAATAGCTTTTTCAAAAGTCACAGTTTTATGACGTCACGCTTAAGATCTCTATAATGGCGTTGCATGAAGTAATACCAAGGAAAGATAATATATAACGGGGCTATCAAGATCAAAGAAACAATATGCCACTGAACATTGCTTAACCAAAAATAAAACACAGAACTTGCTCTATAAAAGATGACTATAAGGATAACGAATATGGTTAGACTTGGTTACGTTATCATAGGTGCTGTTTCAACATTCATCTACAACATATCAAAACTTTACAGGACTAGCGCAACCAACCCATTGAAGCTCTTTTTCTTTTTACTGCCTTTAGCTGTTCTTTCAGCAAATAGAAAAACACGCATTGCACTGGATTAGCATGATAATGCTCAACCAAGATATATCCAACGTAGGCATAGTAACCTGCAAAACGATTGCATGATACAAAAACAAAGAAATGGAAGGGATGAACCTTATGTTTTAAAACATATATGTACAACACCTTCCATATATGTTCATTGATTCTAAAGTTGTTTAAAACTTGGCAAAGTCTCGCAAATATTTGTGGTTAGAGCTAGGAGTTGATATAGGAGAGACTGCTTGCTTCTCTTATTGAGTGATGTTAAGAAATATGCAATGCACGTTTGCTAGAAACCTCGTAAGCTACTTAATTAAACCACGACTTAAATTGATAAGATCTGGATATCAGCCAACTCGAATAAAAAAAAGGAAACTGTGGTCACTGGTTAATATAATATAATAACAAGTGAAATGCAATGAAATTTCGATTATACGAGCCACATACAACGAACGCAGCCTTGAAGACTTCAAATTTCAAGAGCTTTTGTTCAGCGAATGTCTTTTCTGTTAACCCTCAAAAGTTCACTATATCGGGATCCCACTATGTACAAGCTTGAAATGGCACGTCTATTTTTTAGCTCACCTGGGTCCATATTTTCAAATGAACGGGGCAAAAGACTCTTCTGGACGCGTTCAAGAAACAGGACGCCAATAACGAGCCCCTTTATGATACGCATAAGGCACGAGAATAAACCAAGAAACATATTGAAGAAGAACATGTAATACGAAGACAGGTGGAAGATACTTCTAGGATAAGAAACAAATAAAGCATCTTTTAATGTTCTTGAACTAATAACATGTGTGATGTTCTGAAAAATTATGGAATTTTTTATAATGGTCATCAAAATGTATCGACGTAGATAACTTGCACATATGCTCTAACAACATTTGAGTATGGAGACATCTACGCTCTAAAAATATTTTTAGGAAAGGCATTATATCTTCGTGGTTTATTTGAAGAAGCACAATAATACATTCACCATACACCAGAAGAGACAATTAAACATTGGTGCCACAAGTGTGGCAAATTGATAGGGGGAGGGAAGTGGATAAAACATTAAGAATACTGTTAAAACAGGTTCTGGAGATTTCTAAAAAGAATCTTACTTTTAAACCTAGTACATTACGGCGCAGAATCTTTTATGTGCGAAATACACTATAGACAAAAAGTTGTTGATAATTCTTTTTAGTTTTTAAGGAGAAAACAAATATCAATTTGTTATTACCTATTGTCAATGGACATAACTGCACCACTTTGCTGCAAAAACAGGTATTTTGCTGACAAAAATTGAGACAGATAGAGAAGCACAGAAAGCAATATCGCTGGCCTTGAAAGAAAAAAAGAAATTACAATTCAACTGAGTGTGGAAAGAGAATATCTAAAGATATGAAATACTTTAACTCTCTTAATGAGACAAATGATGATATTAAAGTTCATTGAAGCCAGAAAATGTTGTTCCAGAAAAATTGGTCTTGGACATGAATTGGTCTTAAAATAGCGTGAGGATCTTGTCGAAACTTTTCCCTAGTCAAATGTTTGATCTAAAGCCCTGGCCAAACGAATAAAACATTCGTAAAACTTTATAAAACATTTTTGTACCAACATTGTTGGACGATGTTTTATGACCTGACCAAACGGATCAAACAAATGTTAAAACATCTGAAATGGTCAAGCGCTGCCGCACAGCTTCTTACAGTTACTGCGTTGTATTTGCCGAATTTTAACCTACTGCGCTTGCGTGCATATAACAAAGGTTTTAAGAGGTGGCCAAAAGAACGGAATATTGTTGATCAAACATGAGATTAAAAGATATATTTTACGAAATGTTTGTTGGAAATAAAATTTTGCAAAACAGCATAAAACATTGTAAAACATGGTGGCCAAACGAATAAGACATGTTTTACGCAACAATTTTGGAGGATGTTTTATGCCAATGTTTTATTCGTTTGGCCAGGGCTTAATGTGTTTCTCTATGCATCGTGATAGGTAACCTTGCATAAACAATATGAAAGGGTTAGTTGGGTTTTTATCAGATTTGTGTCAGTTGTAAGATCAAAAAAAGAGCAATAGACTTCTAATTTCATCTTGACCTAGTCTAAACACATTTTAACCAGCCATAAATTCCCACAGCTACCCCACAATCAGAGCCTATCAGCATAGGTTTCAAATCTTTGATTGGCTGAGAGACTTAAATTCTCCATACCATATTGACCAATCGAAATTTAAACTCAATATGAAAAATAGGCCAAAATCTAGCAAAGAGGCATATTTATAATTATCGTCATATTATTGAGTTCTGCTTGGTCGATATGACTTAGAGAATCAACATTAAGTAGCAACAAAATCCTCTGCCAAAAAGTTCGGTCAATTAATTTTCTGTGGAAAAAATTTCGGTCATATTTTTTCAATTTCGGTGTAAATTTCGACAAGAACTTGAAAAATTTTTGTAGAAAGAAAATATGTCGGTGTAAATGCAAGAAAATACACTAGATATCAGCCCTGTGCTCGTGTGACCAAATCTCAGCCAATTTGTAACAAAATCAACTAATTGCATATTTAGAGGTAGTTCTTGATGCTCTTTCAAATTTTTCTAGCGTTGGAAAATTTCGGTAAGAAAAAATTTTGGTTTCAAAAATTTCGGTGGGATTAAGTTTCGGTTGCCCTGCTTCACCGAAAATTAATCCCATCAAAATTTTTGGTACTTAATGTAAGTCTCTAAGCTAGTCAAAGATTTGGAACCTATACCGTGTCCATGTCATTCAAAGGCATTCTATGACATAATCCCCTGGCTTAAAAAGAAAACGCAACTGAACATAGCCCGTTGTATTCACTTACCAAATCTGGGCTAGAAATTCCAATATAAAGGCAGATTTGCCATTGAAAGCTGGGTAGATTAGAAATGAAGATGCTGCACCAAGAATAAGTAACAGAAGAAACACAGTTATCATGAAGGCTAGAAAAGAAATAGGTAAATTTTCTAAATTATCCATGCTATGTTATTCCTTAAATAACAACGGTTTAAAGATGATGTTTAAGCTTAACAGCACTTCGCAATATTCTACGTCTATAGCGCAATATTCTACGTATATATACGAAGACCATAAGAGTGGCACAAGAACTCGTTAAATCAATCCTCAAATGGCAGGCATTGCATATCCAATGTTCGTCATTCGTTTGTAATCATATGATATTCTGTTGTATTTCATAAATAACTTTTTGCCATGGCCTCCATTATAGAACAAGGAATAAAATGCAAAAATCTTGTACTTCAATTTATACTTCTTTTTGAAATGCACTTATCAAATGCAATTAACTTAATTTGTTGGTCAACTTAAGGGGACACCACTCTTGGTTGCCATGGGGGTCCTAGATTACTTGCTGCGCCATTGGACCAAATCCAACATAGTTTACGACTCACACAATAGTTTACAACCGCCAGGTCACTTTAGATATTTACATATTGTATTGTTTCTTCGCGTGTTGCTTTGCGGTTTAAGGTTGAAGATCGCAGCAAAATAAAGGCTACTTACCCCAAGCAGTATAAGCAACTTGGAATCCAGCATACTTCATTCCAGCAGCCTTAAAATTAAAAAACACAAAAAATTGATCGATACTTTACTTTAAATTCCACGAAAATTCAAAAGAATTTACTGACTCACAACCCTAGAGAGTTTGCATTATTTTTTATAGAACACACTTAAACATATCATAAAACCCCCCTTGTTGTTTCCTCATACATCTATGATCTCATATCAATTAGAGTTAGCAAAGGTGAAGAGAGCGTACCAACAAACTAGGTGGTGAGGCAGACAACTTTCGCACAGCTGAAGGGAGCCAAGATTTTTCGCCTTTACGTAGCCGAGTAATATGACCCCTAAAATATAAATTAAAAAACCAATAGTTTCAAAAATACGATCAATTTACAGTGGCAAATCAACTAATAGTTTTGATAAAGCTGCTACGAATCAAAAAGAAAAGATGAAAGAGCTCGAATCTGTTTATTTCCTATTCGAAATATCTTACACATAAATTACCAATACGAGCATCCACCATTTCCGAAATATGAACATTTAGATCTGTACATATCAGTGTACATAAATGTAAAGCGCTGGTATTAGGAAAAAGACTGTTCTATTAACTTATATCAAATGACTACTTGCATTCATATGAAGTCTTTAGACTTATAAATTGAACGGCAGTTAAATTGAAAATCGTTACAAATATATACAGCACGTTCTTCAAAGGGATATTTCTTTGGTAAAATATGCTCAAAAATGCTTAGAAATCAAGACGGTCTTGCATTCAGGTATACAGCATTTGGATCCAGTCATAAAAATATAAAGTGTACCTTCTGGTCAATGGGCTTAGTAAAATACATAGGCTATTTGCTGATAGTAAAGCTGGATTTAGTACTGTCATCTTTAAATCGAAGGACAACAAAGGCCATAAAGTGCCACTTAAGTTACGAACAGCCAAGATATGTACCATAAGGTGCTTATGTAATACCACATTAAACTAAAACAACCTAGAGTTGAAATTTGTTTACACTATTAATGAGCATGGTCTCAAGTTACTTTTATCAAAAACGAAATTACAGCTATTTTTCCAATAATAAAATAAAATGCTTCATGTTACCTGTACCATGAGAGCATATTCAGAAAAACAAGGTAGGTCTTCACAGATGCGATACCAATTGCAACATACAAACAAACTAGAAAAAATTAAAATATTTAGAACACATACTTATGGACAATGAAACCTGAATCACTTGCGAAAAAAGCTCAATATTAGAAATCATGATAAGATACACAGCCAATTGCTACCGGACGTTCACTAAGTCCGGCTGATATTCAATTCCGGTTGGATTCTCCCACCTTATACAAGTCAAATGTCGTATCCCGGATAAGTCGGACATTCCCTAAATCGGTATTCCCTAAGCTGGTCCAATTCCTTAACGCCGGGATTCGAATGATCTCTCTCAAGTGGAAGTCGGACCCACGATGGAGGGAAATGTTGGGTAGAATGCGTGGGTCTTAGGACTGGCAAGAATTTATC